ATGTGATTTTAGGGCAGCTAAACAGAATCAAAAGAACACAGTCCCCTGAATGTAGAGTATATGGCACAATGATGTTTCTATCATGATCTGTGGCCCCACTGTGAACAGTTAAGCCCTTGTGCTTTAGACCTCAATGAAAGGAGGTGACAGCCAAAACAAGGGGGAAATAGGAAGCCACTTATGGCTTTCTTTTTTTCCTCAACTCAGGGCTTCATGCGTGCTAAGCAGGTGCTCTACCACTTTAACCACTCCACCAGCCCCATTTTTGTTTTGGGTATTTTCGAGATAGGGTCTCTCAAACTATTTGCCCAGGCTGGCCTCGAACTGCATTCCTCCTGATTTCTGCCTAGGATTACAGGCGTGAGCCACTGGTGCCCATTCACTTGCAGCTTTTGAATTTCAATAACCTGGCCCCTTCAGAACATGAAGGATTCTACCTGAATGAAAGATGTGGGGAAAATATATTTAGCAAGTCAAGGCCTCAAGCTGGCTTTACCATCACACCTCCCGCAGGCAGGAGCCAGCAGGAAAGCCAGGACAGCGAAGGGCTCTGTGGTTAGGCACCTGAGCATGGAGAGACAGCAGACCCCCAAATAGATCTGGAGGAATCCAAGAGAATAGGGTCCTGGCCCTGCCTCCCAGGTCGGGTCTCAGGAAGAAGGGTAAGACCCCAGAAAGAGGAATAGCTGAGGGTAGCCAATTTTGGTGGCAACTTGAGCCACAGACAATGAGGAACATGCTACTCCAAGGCAAAATAGCAGCAGAATGACTCCCGTGTGTCCAAGAATGACTGAGAAGTGGCAGAGAGACATGAGACCCAAAGAGACCATGTAAGCAGGAGCCAGGCAGTGGCCACCTCAGTGAGTCCTGGGTACCCATTTAGTCACAAATACCGCCTACTCCTGTGTTTTGGCAAAAGAAACCCATCCTCCCCAAGTTTAGGAAACCCTGGAAAGAGGAGGACAGACTTAGCATCCACTCCTCCAGGAGAAAAGGGGCTGGCTCAAAACAGAAATGTAGTTGTATTACAGAAAACTAGTGATATGTTTCCTGCATAGCTGAGTTACTCTAAGATCTCTAAGAATTAGGGGAGTGTGGCTAGACATGGTGGCTCATACCTGGCGTCCCAGCCACTTGGAAGTGGAGACTGGAGAGACCATGGTTTGAGGCCAAATGAGGGAAAAGTCAATAAGACATCATCTCAACAAATAAGTCAGGCATGGTTGTGTTGTATGCCTATATTCCCAGCTACCTGGGAGCACAGGTAGGCAGATCTCGGTACGAGCCAAGCCCTGGGCAAAAAGCCTGAGATTCTATCCAAGAAATAACAGCAAAAAAGGGCTGGGAGCATGGCTCAAGTATTACAGTAGAGCACCTGCCTAGCAAGTATGGAGTCCCAAGTTCAAACCCCAATACCTCCAGAAAAAAAGGCGGAGGCAGAGGGGGAGGAAGAGGAAGAGGAGGAGGAGGAGAAAGATGAAAAAGAAGAAAAAGACTATCATTATTGACAGTGGTGCCATTCATAGATGTTGGAGACAAAGGAAGAGGGGAAACAGGATAGAAAAGGAGAAGAGGTCACCCCTCAGTCATTCCTGCACACACGGGAGTCATTCTGCTGCTACTTTGCCCTGGAGTAGCATGAGGACATTGTCTGTAGTTCAAAATTGGCTCCCCCACTTGTTCCTCTTCCTGGGACCTCGTCTCCTTAAGGTTTGAGTGTGTTGAGGCTAGGATGCTGAGGGGACCCAATCTCAACAGAAAAAGCTAGGTATGTCAGGAGGCAGCAGTTTAATCATGCCAGGCACTGAGGAGTGAAGGTCTACTGAGGTACAGAGCTGGCATCACCAGTCCACACAAGTACAAGCTGATGGATGGGTAGAGCTAGGTGGTGAACTAACATACTCCCTACGTGCCTGGCATTGCTGTAAGCTTCTTTAAGCACATTATTTACTGACTCCTCAAATCAACCCTAGAAGGTAGGTAAAAATGATAATATACTAACCCCATTTCTTAACACAGAAAGCAACAGATATAAACGTTGCACAGGTAGGAACCAGAGAAATTAGAAGTTATCCCAGTACATCTACAACCTGTATATCTAACAGCCCTGGTGCTGTAAGTTGCCCTAGACAGGGGCTGGAAATTGTTGGAGGTATGAACTTTGCAGGTGGTCAAGACATTGATTATAACTAAAATGTGCCCGTTGGGTTTAGGATCTAGGAGAACAGCCAGGCTGTGTAAGAGAGGTCTGAGTGACACAGACACATTGTTGGGAGGAAGGAAAACACAGTGTGCACAACTCTGCCAGGTTCTCCTGTAAAGGGAGAGACCTGGACCTATCTTAAAGATTGTCATGCCATGCATGGTGCTGCATGTCTGTAGTCTAAAGCAAGAGGTTTGAGAATTCGAAAGCCAGGCCTGATCAGCATAGCAAAAGACCCGTCTCAAAAAGAGTGTTTTTTTGTGTTGTGGTGTGGTACTGAGTTTGAAACTCTATGGGCCACACTTGAGCCACTCCACCAGCCCTTTTTTTGTGTGAGATGGGGTCTTACAAACTGTTTTCCCAGGCTGGATTCAAACCATGAACCTCCTGAGTAGCTAGGATTGCAGGCATAGGCCACCAGCACCTGGCTAAGATTATCTTTTTTTAAGGGGAAGAATGTGGAACATAGCCAGGTGCAGTGGCTCACACTTGTAATCCTAGCTATTCAGGAGGCTGAGATCCAGAGACTTGTGGTTCCAGGCCAGCTCAGGGAAAGAGTTAGCAAGACCCCATCTCAACAGAAAAAGCTGGGAGTGACAGCATGTGCCTGTCATCTCAGCTATAAGAAGCATAAATAGGAAGATCGCTGTCCAGGCCGGCCCAGGCAAAAAGCAAGGTCCTATCTCAAAAATAACCAGAGCAAAAAAAGGCTGGGGGTGTGGCCGCAAGTGGTAAGGGTACCTGCCTAAGCTAAACACTTTAGGCTGTGAATTTCAAACCTCAGTACTGCTACACAACAATAAAATAAAGGAGAGAGAGAGAAGATGAAACCTATTTATGCGTGTCCAAGGACCATAATAGTAAGTAACAGTGAGAGACCAAAGCTGTCATCTCAGCTATAAGAAGCATAAATAGGAAGATCGCTGTCCAGGCCGGCCCAGGCAAAAAGCAAGGTCCTATCTCAAAAATAACCAGAGCAAAAAGGGCTGGGGGTGTGGCTCAAGTGGTAAGGGTACCTGCCTAGCAAACACTAGGCTGTGAATTCAAACCTCAGTACTGCTACACACAAAAAATAAAGGAGAGAGAGAGAAGATGGAACCTATTATGTGTCCAAGGACCATAATAGAAGTACAGTGAGACCAAAGAAAGAGTGGCAGACTGATGGAGGATTGTGTAGTGTACGATTTACTGGAGAATTCACTGACAGAAGTATGGGTCTGCGCAGCAGCATGAGCAGATGGATCACTGCGATTTGCATCAGAAAGAGGGGAATGTGTATGGATTAGAACAAGAGTGAGTTCATCCTGGCTGGAATGTTCCTAGTTTATCTTAAGATAGTATCGAAGAATGAGTTGCCTCCCTGGAGCCAGTCTGATTGTAAAGCCACATACATGACACTAATGGCTTTATCTACTTATGATTTGCTGGAAAAATTAGCTAGGGTTACTCATGCCAGTTTCAACTCAAGATGGCTGCAGTCATGTCAAGCTGTATCCATAACCACTTCTGCCACACCAACCTTGTTCTTCCTCCAAAGTAGCATATAGCTCCCACATCAGGACCTTTGCGACTACCTTCCATTCTGCCTAGAATATTCTAGATATGTACGGCTTGCTCCTCACCTGCTTCTTTGGGCATCTCTGGCCATACTCCACACACTCCAAATTCTTCTCCCTGTTTGATTGGTCTCTGTAGATCTTAGAGCCATCTAACACGACATATTTCTACTTTTTCTTTATTGTCCATCTGCTTCTACTAGAAGGTAAGCTTCTTGAGGGCAGGGATTGGGCCTGCTTTGTGCAACTATTGAATCCCCAGTTCCCAGAAGCGTGCCTGGCACATTCAGTGATGGAGAAATGGAGTGACTGAGTGGTGGCCCCATGGAAACATAAGGGGTTGAGATCCAGAAGGCTCTGGTCCTGAACAAGAAGAGAGACACCTCTGTCACTGCTGCTTGGATAGAAGTAAGTATGATCCTGAGGTGTTCATAGGTAGAAATTTAAGTATTTCCTTCTCGGTTGCCTCTAATTTCCTTGGGAAACACAAGAGGAGGGACTTGAAAGTGGTGACCCATGGAGATGTCTGTGTGGAGAATGGGAAGGGAAGCTAAGGGCACACGGAAGGATTGATGGTCCAGGTGAAGCTGAAAACCTGGATTTGCCTTGGCACCACCCTACATGGTCGGGTGGCGGTTCCACCAACATGGAAGGAGGGCGGGTGAAAGGTCTAACCTAACAAGCAGAGCGGCAAAAATTTTTGCCTCTGCTTTTTCTTCAAAGTCCAACGAGCATTCCTCCCTCTGACTCAGTGCCTCTGTTTGCCCAGTCAGGTCGTCATCACTAACCACTAGTCCCATGGAAGTAAAATGAGCAGTGTCTTTAAAGAGTAGAGAGAAAGAGAAGAGGCTGAGGAACAGGACCTTCCCCAGTCAGGTGGGAACTGGGCTGGGAACATGAAGCCTCCCCTAGAATCTGAAAGTCCATAGGCCACGGGGCTCAAGTTCTGGGCCTTCCTTCTCCCATGCGCCCTCCTCTTTCCCAATACCTTGCAGTGCCCTGTCGTCGTGTCACATTCCAGTCGACTTCCATCTGCGCTCCACTCCCCTCCACACAGGCGTGCTTTTCCTCCACGTGGTTTTCTGTATATATCGGTTGCCTGGGAGACCTTCGCCGGGCGGGGCTCTGATGACGCCACAATCGGAACAAGCCAATAGCCGTGACGTATGCTAGTGACGCCAACGCGGGGTGTGGCTTTGCGGGTCCCGGCGCAATGAGGCCGCTGCCCGCTGGGTGGCGCCGATTTCCCGGGGAGGTCCTTTCTGGGCCCCCGGCGAAGGTGGGGGAGAGGCGGGCAGGAGCCGAGCGAGGCCGGGGAGCCCTCGGCGTCAGCTGCTGCTCGCTGCGCCGCGCCAGTACCAGCCAGGACTCACCCGAGGCTCCATGCTTGTGCCCGGTTCGTCTCGTCCATCCTCCGAGAAGAGGCAGGTACGTACCACCTGTCGGTGACCGGGGACCGGGGCGGGGGAAGGCAAGGAGGTCAGGGCCGGCTGGAAGCTCCGAAACTTAAGTGGCAACGACAGCCCGGGCAGAATGGGCACTAGAAATGTAGGACGAAGGCCAGCTGCGCGGGGGAGCTCCAGCTGTGGGTACCAGTGTGTGAGGGGGTCTGCCAGCTGCCAGCCCTGGGTGCCAGGAAGAGCCATCTGTGTGCGATCAGCGTGTTCTAAGGAAAAGCTGCTCCTTCGGCGGGTCCGGGTTGCTGTGCTCTATGTGGTATGTAGCCTGAGAATGTCAGGGTTCAGGCATGAACCCTGACAACCCCCTCTCCACGAATGCGTGCAGCTCACTTTCTCGCTGTTCTTAAAGCTCGGGGGGCTGTCTCTGGTCAGTTTGCCAAGAGGGAGGGAGCTTAGAGGAAAGACAGCAGTTGAGAGGAGAGATTTTCCACCAATCCCAAATCAGAAAGAGGCAACTTTGAAATTCTCACCAATCCCAAAGCAAAAGCAGGCATGTGGTGCTCCAAAGCAAGCAAATTGCCAAGGGAAGCCCTGGCCAACCCGTTCTAGCTCTTCTCTGAGGAGTGAGCATTCAGCTCCTGACCTAGGTGCTTTTACCATGGAGCTGAATTGAAGATGGGATAGGGGCAGCTCCTCCCCCATAAGCATGCATTAGAACACTATCATCCCCCAAAAAAATTGCCCATAAAGCAGAGGAAAGGAGAGCTTACTGGGTGGGCTCGGGTTGGGGCGTCCTCCACTCTTTTGGAGATGTAGATGTATGCCAGACTGGAATGAGGACTGGAATGAGGGCGTCCTCTGAAGTGCATCACCAGGACCCAGGTTGAGTCAGTAGCCTGTGCTGAGACAGGGTGGAGACACCAGCCTGGGTCCTCCCAGTCCTCAGGGAGAGCCATCAAGAAACAGAAGGATTATCTTGGGAGCAGACAGGTGCACCAAGGCCAGAGAGGCCAAGAACCCTGCTCCTTCCTTTAGCGACCCTGCCCAGCCCAGCTCTGCAGGCCCTGGAATCCTGAGCCTTCCAACAGGTAGAGTGGAACCACCCTAGAGGGACCAGGCATTCTCCTGGCAGTCTGGGGAAACTGCACTTGTGCCATGTTTTTCTAGGCAAAGGGGGAAGGAGCCCAAATGGGCTTGGCCTCTCTTGCCTTGGTAGATGGGATATCTAGGAAGATGACAAGTAGCATCTGCCCTTCTCACTTTGGGGACATGAAACCAGTTCAGAAAACAACAGAGCTGTTCCATGGCACCAGAACAGAGCACTCCCAGAGGGGTAGCCTGAGGCCCTTTCCTTCTAGGAAGGGTTGTCTGTCTGCTTCTAGTACTACTGCCAATTAGAACAAGAAGTGGAAGTGTTCAGTGGATCATTTATTGAACTCTTTCTATGTGCCAGGAGACCTACAAATATCATTTTATTTTGTTTTTTATTTTCATTTATTTCAGGTTTTTGGGGTTTTTTTTTAATTCACGTTTTACAGGTTAAATAACTAAGGTTCAGTTGACTTGTTCATTCTTTCCCAGTAGGGGAAAGAACTAGAATTCAGGCTTAGACCTAGAAGTCCATTATAAAAAGAAGTGGGCTGAAACTCGAGTGCTAGCCATCAGCCTGTCTCTCCCTGTGCGCTCTGGAGCTACGTCTACTCCATCTCAAAACTCCAGGGGCTGCACCAGTGGGTAGGCTGCCTCATGTTCTCTAAGTCTGACTGGCAGCTCCAGAAAATCCACCTTCTCCATATTCTGGTCTCAGGTTCCACCCCAGCCCTCTGTTTCCCCTTGAATTCCACGCTGTTCCACTTCAAAATGCTCCCTCTCGAAAGTCCTAGTAGATCTCCTTGGCTGGCACCTCCCCAGCCAGGCAGCCCATGGAGGGTGGGCATGCTACTGCCCCTTTAATTCTCGCGGGACTTGGAATGCAAGTGAGTGGCCATGTCTGTGAGGTCAGATAAGATACTATATATATCGAAGCAGTAACCTGAGCTCCGGATTAACCAGACCGAGTCAGACTCCAGCTTCTAGGCTCTCCACTGCTGTCCCTGTCCCTCTGGGGAAGAAGCCCCCAGGTCCCCTCCGGTGCCCCCGGATACAGGTCAGTAGCTGCCTCTTTGGTATTTGAAGTTCACAGGGCGGTTGTCTGGTGGACAGACATGAGTGAGTTTAGGGGCTTAGGCTAGAGGCCACCCACTGGGCCTAGGGGGTGCTGTGGGCAAACCCCGACTCTCAACTCCTCCGGAGGACAGCTGAAGCCCTAGAGGAGAAGGGAGACAGGACTCCCCCTTGAAGGTGCCTGGGCAGAGGTGGTTGGAAGACAATTGAAGGACACCAATACCGCCTGGAGGCCTATTTCTAAGTCCTTTTCTTGGACTTGTAGAGATTCCCACCCTCTCCCAACCCTAAATCAAGAAACACCCTATGGAGGAGCTGCTCTGGGCCCACCCACTTCTTTTCCACCAGTCAGGATGGTTGCCTTATCTCCAACCTCTTTATCTTACCTTCTCACCCCAACACACACACACCTGTGTACTTTAGGGGCCTACTAGGAGCAAGGAAGACAGAGATGGGCATAAATTCCCTTGGATGACCCCCTACCAAAGCAGGCAAGCCAATTCTGTACTAAGCTGGCAGGTTACTGGATGCTAGTTCCTGAGAGAGCTGGTAGTAACAGGTTACAGGGGAAGGAGGCTTAAAGGAGCAGACCATGTTGCCCCACCCCACCTTTAACCAGTATCCTCACACCTGCCAAGGTTGGGTGCTTGTGCCCAGACAGTGTAGAAGGGGACCAGAGCAGCTAGGAGGAGGGGTCAGAGAGTGTAGGTGGAGAGAGACAGGGTGGCACATTCTGATGCAGTTAGCAAGCAGCTTTGGGAAGCTCTGAGGTCACCACTGTGGAGGTTCCCAAGCACCTGGTGAGACTGACTGGGACTCCCCACTCACCTGTGCTGAGCACCTGAGTAGGAGGGAAGGGACTTCACCCTATTTGGCTGTGGCTCTGAAGCTCAGCTCTGGGGACCTCTGTCCAGGTAATGGCAAGGCCACAGAAGCCATGTGCCTTCACTGCAGAAAGCTGAGTAGATCTGGGCAGAGAGAGACTGGAAGGTTGCTGAGATGCGGGGCATCACCTGGCCTAGGCCCTCAGGGCCAGGAGTGCCTGGGATTCTTGTGGAGCAAGTCCCTCCCCTGGCTTGGCAGGTTAGGGAGCCCTCACGTGAGCTACAGGATATGACAGTGACTGATGACAGTGGCTGATGCAAGGGGGTTGGCTGCCCCAAGGGGACAGGGTTCATTTTAATCCCTGACTCACTTAGTCTGGGTACCTTGGGGAGTGGGCTGAGCTGCATCCAGGGGAGAAGGCTGTTCACAACCAGGCTGGGGCAGAAGGTCTCTGAGTAGGGGTAGATGCCAATGCCAGGGAACATGCAGTAGGTTGGCACAGTGGGTGAAACAGAGGCCTCCTGGACATCTGACAGCCGATCAGTATTATTCTGGGGCTCAGGTTGCACCTGGCTTCACTTTCATTCTCCTGCAGTGGAAAATCCAGAGGGCTGCTCCTGTGGGAGCCTGTACTCCCCACACTTGCTGGACAGTGGACACCTGGCTTCTCTAGGAGTCCTCCCCACACTCACCCCACAGCCCCCAACCCTGGGAGGGTCCAGGAAAGTGTGGAGTGTGGGGGCTTGGCTTCAGGGTGACTGTAGTGGACAGAGCACAGCTGTGTCACTACTCCCACGGTGACTTTGGGAGATCCCATCCTTTCCGAGAACCCTTGTTTCCTTATCTGCTAGTTGTCATCACAATCCACGTACTGCCTAGAGTTGCTGGGAGACGTAAGTGAATTAATACATGTGTCACCAGTCTTTGTGCAGTTTTAAGCTTTAATTCCCTCAGAAATATAAACACTAAAAACTTCATTTGGAAATTTTGTTATTAGCTGGGAATTGGTTATGCATGCCTGTAATTCCAGTCCTCAGAGGCTGAGGCAGAAAGATCACAAAATTTGAGGCCAGCCTGGGCTATGTAGTAAGACTCTGTCTCAAACCCAAAACAGAAAGAAAGAAATCCACCATTTAAATTTCTTGTATATTTATTTTTTGAATTGAATACAGTTTTTAAAATTTAATGTAAACAATTTAACCCTTCCAATGATGGTCTTAACTTTGAGGCAATTTTTTTTCAGTACTGGGCTTGAACTCAGGGCCTACACCTCGAGCCACACCATCAGCCCTTTTTTTTTTTTTTTTTTCCCCATGAAGCTCTCTTTTGAGATAGGGTCTCGAGAACTATTTGCCTGGGCTTACTTCAAACCACTACCCTCCTGATTTCTGTCTCCTGAGTAGCTAGGATTACAAGTGTGTGCTACCAATGCCTGGCTCGAGGCACTTATTATCAGAAAAACTTCCAGCTCACACCTGCCCTGACTTCCAGGACACTGTGTGGCATATGAACGTGCTGGGCACATGGTGAAGGCGTGTGGCTCCCAAAAAAATGAAATCAGAAACTGCACCAAAGTCTAAAGCACATTTGAGGTCTGGTCCATATGTGTGGGGTGACTGCTGGGCAGGTGATGGCTGCTTGGCTCAGGTGTCCTGACAGGAAGCTGAGTGTCTCTGTGCAGAGGAATGCTGGCAGGCCTCCCAAGAAGGGGAAACTGAGCAAGCTGATGGGGACTCTAGAAAGATGGCATGAAGGAGGAGTGTGGGCAGGGACTGCCCCCCATGGTCCAAGGTGGCAGGCACCTGGTGAGGCACGGCCTGGAACCACATGCCTGAACTTGCCAGCTCTGGTAAACAGTGAAAGCAGCTGGGCAGCAAGGGCCCCACACTGGGCAGGGAGGGGGACGGGGGATCCCAGCCAATCGGCTGGCCTCCCACTGCCCCATGAAAGAGCCATTCAGTCCAGGCTGTTCCTGTGGCAACAGGGAGACTCGCAGCCATGTGAGTGCCTATCCTGTCCCTGTCTTGCGCAGCAAGGCCACAGCCAGAGCCCCAGCCGGAGCTCCTGCCTGTGGTGCATTCTGCAGCCTCCAGGGACAGCAGTACCAGGTAACACCAAGGGGCACCAACTCAAGATGTCTTCTCACCTGGAAGGTGCTGGGAGAGTGAGACTAGGGTTTGGTAGAAGGGAGAGGTACGTGCAAGGCCTCAGCCCCAACAGGGACCCTCTCCCTAAACTCGGGAACTGTAAGACAGGTGTCAGAGCTGAACTGTAGCTTCCAGGGTGTTAAGTGATGGAGGAACTTCCAGGTCTGCTGGGAGGAGGGAGGAGGCCTGGCAATTGCCTGCCAGATTGGAACAGAAAGGAGAGTCCGGATTAGGGAACCCTCCTGGGATTCTGTGAGCCAGAAGATGGGGCTCCACCTCCAGCTCCAGCCCTCCCAGGTCTGTCTGTCCTTGTCTGCTGTACCTTGTTTGGCGCTGGCCCTCCTGCGTCATCTGCAGGGCCAGGAGAGGTCACGGGCTTGGATTGCTGCATACAGAATACCAATTCCCTGGGAGTCTCAGTGTGGGGGAAGGAAGGGAGAGCCATGGGGAGGAGCCATGAGCTCATACCCTAGGGGTGGGGGTGTATCTGATTGGCTGTCAGTTGTCCCAGAGCCCAGCTCCGGAGACCTGAAGTCTCTTGGACTTTGCATTATTGATGGGAGTTCTCCAAAGTGAAATAGAGCAGGACTAGTCCCCTGCCCCCACCCCTGAGCCTCTGTCATTCCCCAGGTATCTTTTCCTAGAGCAGAGTGAAAGTTGTGCTGGAGGTGGGAACACAGTTGACAAGGGAAGGTAGAAGAAGCGTAGGGGGTCCTCTGGGCCAGGCAAGAAAAGGGCAGACCGTAAGATGGACAAGTCTTTCTGGCACCAGCCTGGACTGAACACTGCCAGCAATCTCTGGCAGTCAAGACGTGCTGCTCTGGAACCCACGTGGAAGTTGACACCTGCTCATGTCCCACCCCTGCACCTATCCCAAGCCTTCTGTGGCTTGGGTTTCTATGGTTTTCTGCCAAGCTCTCAGCACTGGGGCGTGGCACCAGCTCCTCTCTGCCCTAATGGGCTGGGTGGCTAGCCTAGGACAGGCTGTGGGCTGCCTGAGCCAATGTCTACTGAATGGCTAGATGTCTGCCCACTGCCCTCTTCTCTCACTGGGGGGACCAGGGAGAGTAGCCTGGCGCCCGGGCTGAGGTCAGGGACCAGCCAGGCCAGGAGGTGGCCAACCCTGACATTATTATAGACTACAAAGGGAGGAACCAGGCTGCCTGGCAGGGACTGGGGAGGAGATAATAACCAGTCATTGTTAAGTGCTTTCACGTGTTATTATCTCATTTATTCCCCACAAAGCCCTTCGAGATAGAAATCATGATGATAATTATTAGACTATTTACAGGTAAAAAAAAATTGATTAAATGACTAGTGCAGTGCAGGGGGAGTCAAAAACAGCTCTGTACACACTACTCCAAGAGTCCTGAGTGGGTCTGTCTCCCACACACGTACCAAAGGGAGCCCCCCAAGAGCCCTCAAGGGCCCCTGACTTGCTCCTCTCTCTGAACCACTTCTACAAGATGCTCCATTGCGGATAAAGCCTGCATGTTGGGGTGATGGTGGGGTTTTGGAGGTCCCCAGCTAAGCCTCACTTTGAGGCCTATCAATGTTAGTGGAAAGAGAACTGGATCAGATTCTAAAACACCTGAAGTCCAGTCCTGACTCTGCTAGCATGTGACCTTGGGCAAACCAGCATCACTTTTCTTATCTGTACAACAAAGAAGTTTAAATGCACAATCCTTTAGGGCACTCTAGCTCCACACTCAGGGATTTCTGTGTTCCTCCCCCACCAGGCCCACCTTCCACCCATCCCCTTCCAACTGGGACTAGCTGAAGTGGAGGGCAGAGCGTGCCAACTGCAGTTCAGGATTTTGGCCTCTAGGGGCTCCCCTTTGCATGAATCAAGTATTATGGGACATAGTGTTGGGAAGGGACACCCTGGGAAGCCACAGGGCCCTAACTCCACTTAGATAGAAGGCTAAGCTCAGTGAAGAAGGTGAGTTCTACCATACCAGTAACCCTCTACAGTGGGACCAAGCATCAGATGCCTGTGTCCAGAGACAAGCTCAGGAAAGGAGCCTGGAGACAGGTCCAGTCCCTCTGCCAGACACTCCCTCATCACCTCCCAGGCTCACTGATCCCCATCACTTCCTCTCATAGCCTCCTTTACCTTAGGAGGGATCTGACTCCATGATCTTCAGGACATTCCAGGGAACAGTCTATGATACCACAAGGACTCCTGCTGATCACATAATTCAGAAAAAGGAAAGCCTCATAACTCCTGAAATGCCCAGTGCTCTCAGGCGGGGGAGGTAGGGGAGGGGTTGAAGGTAGTGGGACCCCAGCTCAGGAGTTTCCACAGACGCTCAGGAGAGGAACCAAACACTTGGACTGGAAGAGTGTGTGTGGCTTAGAGGGCTGTGGAAATGGGACAACCCCTGCTTGCATGTCTGGATCTTTGAGAGGAAGACCCAAAGTGGCCAGGACATGCTGGTGATTTCTCCCGTGGACAAATGGGTGCGTGGAAGGCTGTGTGCATACCTGCAGCTGGCCAGCTTCTTGTGGACATGGACTGGGCAGCCCCCATTGAGCCCTAAGTTTCTGCCCCATCTGGGATGGAAAGCAGGCACAGTGGGGCCTGTCACCAGGAAGGACACTTTGACAACTGCTTTCCTTGTCTTTCAGCCCATGAGGCTCCCAGTCCCCACTGAGTGCAGCCCTGAAGGATGTCCCAGCTCTCCTCCACCCTGAAGCGCTACACAGAATCGACCCGCTACACAGATGCCCCTTTTGCCAAATCAGGCTATGGTACCTACTCCCCCTCCTCCTATGGGGCCAACCTGGCCACCTCCTTCCTGGAGAAGGAGAAGCTTGGTTTCAAGCCTGGCCCCTCCACGAGCTTTCTCCCCCGGCCCCGCACCTATGGCCCTTCCGCCATCCTGGACTATGACCGGAGTCGCCCTCCGCTGAGACCCGACATCACCGGGGGTAGTAAGCGAGCTGAGAGCCAGACCCGGGGCACTGAGAGGCCTTCAGGCAGTGGACTCAGCGGGGGCAGTGGATTCCCTTATGGAGTGACCAGCAACTCCCTCAGCTACCTACCAATGAATGCCCACGACCAGGGAATGACCCTGAGCCAGAAGAAATCGAACAGCCAATCAGACCTGGCCCGAGATTTCTCCAGTCTCCGGACCTCAGATAGCTACTGGACCTCAGACAGCTACCGGATAGACCCTGCAAACCTGGGCCGCAGTCCCATGCTGGCTCGCACCCGCAAGGAGCTCTGTGCCCTGCAGGGGCTCTACCAGGCAGCCAGCCGCTCTGAGTACCTGGTGGACTACCTGGAGAACTACAGTCGCAAGGGCAGCGCACCTCAGGTGCTCATACAGGCCCCTCCCTCAAGAGTCCCTGAAGTTCTCAGCCCCACCTATCGTCCCAGTGGCCGCTACACACTGTGGGAGAAGGGCAAGGGCCAGGCGCCTGGGCCCAGCCGCTCCAGCTCCCCAGGGCGAGACACCATGGTGAGTTTACCCTTGGAAACCCAGTGATGGGCTGGGGAGACGGTCACCTGTGTAGAAGAGCCAGGTTAGGGGCAGGACTCCCAACCCGACTGATGATGGATGGCAGCCCTGGTGAAGACAAGTGAGGAAGGTCATCCATGCATGTCTGGTACCCTCATGGCTCTGTGCCAAAAGGAAAGGGTTCCCTCACTCCCAAGGACCTGTACACTTGGGGGGTGGTCCAGCAGTGCCCCAGGAATGCTTGGCTAGCCCAAACATAATATCACTGTTATTCTCACCCTGTCCTTTTCTATCCCATATACCAGGGTCCTCTAAGGGCCCTGCCCCATCCTGGGCTGGCTGCTAGGGCCCACAGATCACCACTGCTCCCTATGGAAAGAGAGGCCTCCCTCCTCTGGCTTCACCTCCTCCTGTTCAGGTTTCCCACCTGAGCGTAAGGTATCAGGGGAAGAGGAAGAGGGACTCTCCTCTGATGGACACTGGCAGGCTCAGATCTTACGTGAATGTCAGGTCTTAAGTGTCTTGGGAGAAAATAGTGGAGAACTTTTTGTCTAGGGCTTGAATCAATCTAACACCTCTATATTCCAGCCCTGCCTGGGCTGGAATGAGGGAAGAGGCTCTGCTGGAGACTGACCAAGGGCTGGTATGATCTTCCTGGTATCTAATCCCTGCACATGTCCCTCCTGGGGCACCGACTACATTCTGCCTTTTCTGTAGTTATCAGTGTGTCCATTAGGTGGCAAGCTCTCCGAGGGTGGCAAGCTCTACGAGGGGGAGGGGAGCTGTTGAAAAAGATCCTATCTCCAAATCCCTCACCATGTGCCTCTGGCAGCGTGGAGCTCAGCTGACCTGCTGATTGCATGGATGGGTGGACAGGCTGATGGTTGGTTGCATGAATGGATGGATAGATGGGTGGATGAGTTGATGGAAAGGTGAATGGACGGATGGACATGTGGACAGGGGTTTGAGAGCTGTGTGTTCTCCAGTCCCTTATGTGCCCCACCTCATAGTACATATGCCCTCTGTAAACAAGAGTGATGCCAGCAAGAAACACTGCTCTAGAGGACTTGCCCAGACAAGTGGAGAAAGGGTTCAGGACTAGAGGCAGGGCACTGGGTCATAGACTGTAAAGTGTGTCATAACCAAAGGTCTTGAGAGGACAACTTTGATAAAATTACTTCAAGAGTCTTGGCTTTGCTGGGCCATATGGGAAGTGCTATGGGAGATACAAAAGCTATGTCTACTAGGACCCTGACAAGTTCGCACAGAAGGGAGTGAGAGAATGTGTCACTGGCCTAGGAAAGAAACACTGCTGTTGAGAACTATGTTCTGTGGGGATGGAGCAGGATTCACTTGGCCATGTCAGGTGTTATTCATGGGAAGGGGCAATCAAAAAGTGGCTTGCAGAGGAGGGGCTTGTGTCCTAGAGGTTTCTGAGGAGCTCCCTTCCTTTGCTCAGAAGAGAAAGGGTTCTTTGTGGTAAACAGTGCTTCTCCAAGTGGGGTGTGTGGAGTGTCTACATCAGGATCACCTGAAGGATTAACAGTTCACCCAGACCCGCTGAATCAAACTGGCTCAGGTGGTGCCTCAAAAATCTGCCTTTGTCACATGCTCTTCAGGTGACCTCTAAGTACACTGAGGTTGGAAACCTCCCCACCATAGCCTGAACTACAGACCTCCTTCATCCCCTATCATGAGGGAGCAGAGGCTCTCTTGACTGGCAGATTCCTGGGGGAATCTGACTCCTTCCTCACAGCTATACCCCTTTGAACCCTCCACCTCTTCCGAAGGGGACATCTGTCCAATCCCCACCCAAGGCCAAGGAGAGGGGAGTTGAGAGGGAGGACCTCAGAGGAATGACACAAAGCCACCCTAACACCCCTCCTTCCCACCTAGAGGCAAGCCACAATACTGTTAAGTGGCCAGGAATGCCTTATAGCAGAGCCAGCGTTTTACCTGAGCTCCCACTCCGTAAGATACTGTCAGCCAGGGCAATGACCTAAAGATCTTCACTTAACCTCACCCATCTTGTGCTTACTTCCGGGAGCTGCCTATATCCTGTGGAGGTGAGAGTAACGTACTCAAGAACTTGAAGCACTTCTTTCTAAAAGCAAGGCCAGTTTCTTTTCGGGTCCACTTGGGGTCTTATCTCCTCATTCAGTCATTTATAATGCTCAACTCACTAGCCCTGAGAACTCAGCACCTAGCTTTCTTGAGTTGTCCTTTAACTTCTGAACCCATTCCCGCTTATGTAAAATGAACATACTCATAGTTCCCTACATAGATTATTATAAAAGAGTATAGCACATAGTAGGTACTCGGTAAATGTTAGTCCTTCTTGTACCGTTCCACATGCTAGGGAGATGTGTGAGCCATGGTCACCGCCCTTGGTGCATTCACAACTCACTTGGGGAAATAATGTTCTTAGCTAATTACAATAGGAGGTGTTTATAGTGTCATCAGTGGTAGGAAAGGAAGAGGTCATCTGAGGCTATGGCAGGCTGCCCGAGACCTCTGGAAGGTACAGTTTGCTTCTTTAACCTTGGACACCTGTCAGCTGACTGGATTTCCTCATCTATAAAAGGGAATGCCACACCTGCCCTGCCCACCTCACGGGATGTCATTAGACTCAAAGCAACTAATGAATGTGAAAGAATCCAAGACCAGTAAAACACCACAGAAGAGTTTAAACTTCTAACTCAATGATAGAGTATACACCCAGTATGTGTGAGGCCCTGGGTTCAACACCCAGCACTGCAAAAACAAAATTAAAAGGAGAGAGAGGATATGATAAGAAGGGGCACTCCCATGGGAGGGACAGGAGGACGTTCATCGTGTGGCCTCCTTGAACTTGCAGATAGCTTACATAAAGAAAGAGGTCAGATGTGAGCATCCACTAGGAATAGGACACTCCAACCAGACTCCCCCTCATTAAATAGTAACAGCTAACATGAACTTGGAATAGCTCAGACTTTGCTGAGCATGAGTAAAGAATTGGTGGGCGGGGGAGGACATGAATTCTGAATAACCCCCTTCCCATGTTTGTGTAGGCACTAACAAAATGCTAGTCCATGGGGGTACAGCTCAGCACCACAGTATGGAGGGTCTTCCCTGGGGCTCCACTTTCCACTGAAAATGCAAACAGATGAGCAAGGAGGAGCAGAGATGTTGGGGGGGAAGCTTTTAGTACCCCCAGTGGGCATTCCAAGTCAGCCCAGGTGGCTTGGCTCTTTAGAGAGCCAGGAGCCAGAGTACCAAGTCTGTCGTCTCCCCTTCCGCCCCACCTCTCCTGTTCCCAGAGCCTATGGAAGGACAAGCTGTTCCCACTGAGCCCTGCCAGGGTTGTGCCTTAACCCCTACAATCCTTCCTAATCCTCCTCCGCTCCACCCCTCCAGCTGCTCCCTGGCCAGCCCTGGCATTCTGCCCACTGGCCAGCCCTACACTAACCCCGCCCAGGCCTCCCCCTCCTCTCCCCAAGAAGAGCCAGGGCAAGCTTGGCTCAGGGCCCTCCTGAGCAGTCAGCAGGCTGGGCACCTGCTCCTCCACACACAGCCAGGGACTGAGCCTCGGAGTCTGGCTCAGCCTATTCTCCTGCAAGCCGCCTCTCTCACACCCTTGCCCTCTGCTCAGGGACCTGTTTCTAGGAGCAATGGAACCTGAGTACCTGGGTCCTGTTTGCCACTGGAGCTGCTGACTCATCTTTCAAAGCCTTGGTTCCAGCTGTTCAGTGACAGGGAGATTATATAAGCTAAGGTCATGTGATTTTTGCTCTCGGTTGGGACTTTGGACTTGAATGCTGCCCTGAAGTGAGCAGAGGTTCTTCGGAAAGAGCAAGTGGGGGATGGCAGGGGCTGCCTGAGAGCTCTTGGGTGGCAAGATGACCTTCCTGTCCCATCCCTTGCCTTTTCACTTCTGACTCAGCTGCACCAGACTGCATCCCTGCCTGCTGTCTTGTCAATCCAGATTGGCAGCTTGAGACCCTGGGGCCCATCCTCCCTCACTCCCACTCCAGGTCAAACTTCCTGAGGGCTTTAATCTGTGCTGCCAGCCTGAGAAGGTCATTTAGAGGAGATATCAAGGGAGAAAGTTCCCATGGCTAGGACCAATACTAGCCACTGAGAAAGGAAGGGCAGCTGGTTTGTGGTTTGTGATTAGAATCAGCAAGATGCTGATGTCTGTATCCCATGAAGGCACGCTGTGGGCTGTGACCTGGCTGGTGGCCTTGGCACTGCCTTACCCAGCTTCCCTTGCTCAGTTGGTGCCCAGCATCATCCATCTTGCCTTCCCCTCCTCCACCCCCGCTCCAGGATGTTTCCATGACTTAATGTAGTGCTAGGGTGGAGCTCAGCAACGCAGAAGTTAATCTAAGCCTGGCAAAATGTTCCCCGCCCCTGGGGGAACTGCTCCATTGACCACCAGCTTCAGAAACGAACATGGTGTTCAGAGCCCAGAACTGCACACGTGGGCCCCCAGTCTCCTCTTACCTCATTGAATATGTAAAACTGGCACCCTGACAGAGAAATAAGCAAGAGGAAGAAGTGTGTGGGCTTCTGGAATCTGACTGGTCCTGGCCAGATTGCCTCGGGCATGGAGGAGTACAGAATATTTGGCCTCTGGGAGTCCAAGTCATATAGGGAAGCAGAGATTCCTACAGCAGGTGGGAAGGATAAACTGACCCTCCTCCCCACAGTACACTGTGGAGGAGCCCCAACCCTTTCACCTGCCAATCAAGCCACCAGTCTGTTCATCTGCCATGAGGATGGC